ATGTTAGCATATTTGGAACACTCTTCACTTGTAAATTCCATGGATTTTGACAGCATGTAAGTGTAAATATCCTCTGATTCATCCTTTCAATTTTGTTTGAAATTGTAATGTGTTGTAATTTACTGGGGAGAGCAAAAGACCAAAGAAAGACAGATAAAGGTATCTCATACTTAAGAGAATCCCTTTACCTATTATTCTCTACTATTTGCAGAGTATTTTAAAGCTTCTTGCTGCAATCCAGGTTTATGAAGAACTGGCAGCTACAATCTGACCTGAAAAAAAAAATCATCATACTTTTCTCTCAGCCTTCAAGGAAATCCCTCATATACTCCAGAGCATCTGGCATCAAAGGCCTTGGAAGAGATAGAAAACTGGTAGAACAAATGGATTGACCATTCCCTTCACAGCTGCTGCAGCATTAAGTTAATACTTATTTAATTTTCTCACCCCAGACTCAATGTCCCATTTTCAGCCTAAATGCAAATAAATGAACAGAACTTTCAAGTATTAAAACTGACCACTTCTGACAAAACACAAAACCTAAGCGGACTCTATTTAAGTGTAAAAAGTGAGATATACAGTACCATTATTAGCTTTGTATTTGGAAGGAGACAGTGGGACATGAAGGAATATAACTATTCCTATAAATAACATGTTTTCTGTATTATCAATTTATTAATAAGTACTACAAATGAAAGAGCATTAGAAAAGAACATCTAGTCTCCCAGTTATATAGATCCTTCTTTTCAGGACAGTCAGAAGTGTCCAGGAACATGAAAACATGAAGCCTGCAGTCCCCAAATTCCTGGAATTAAGGGAAGAGTTACAGTTGCTGTAAAGTAAATCCCAACTAGCTCAGTAACACCTATTCTGCAGTACCTGCAACACTCAACATCTTCGACCCCAAAAAGACATGGTATAAAATATTACCATTCCATAGAAAAAATCATTATTTGGTCCCTTAAGTAGCCCCTGAAGTAGAAGGCTGTGGTGAAAATTTATCAGGCATTTTCCTCCAAATGGAATGTACGCTCCAATACCCAAAGAGGTCTATAGGACATGAAATTTTAACGGAATTGTTAATGTCTTTCTAGGTTTTATAATACCACAAAGAGATACTCAGCATGTGCTTCCACGACAGCAGATAAATGCTAATGCCTGTAGTACACAACACTTTCAGAGTGGTTTTGAACAAAAGTCATCTTCTACTCTTGTCGGGCAAATTAATGGGATCAATAAATTTTGTAGTATCTCCACATAAGACACTCTACCTTCACAAACTTAATCAGTAAATTCACAATGGACAGAAGGGACCACAAACAACTTATGTGGATTCCCTGAAAGGTTGGTCTGCTCTGAGAAACATAAAAAGTCAAAGGCCTGGGAATTTTCAGATGTGAACCCACGCCTTGATGTGGGTAAGGTTTGCGGAAGATCCTAAAGGTCAGATGTGAGGCTCTCCCTTATCAACAAGGTCATATGTTAAGTGAAACTGAAACCAGGAGGAGTGTACTCCCTGGAACCACAAGCACCACTCTGATTACAGTAAATATATTTTCAAAGGGAAAGAAGTTTAAAAAGTGATGTTTAAAGTGTATTTATCAGAATAAAGAAATATATCCACTAAAGAAGTTGTTCTCAGGTAATATCCATAAGTATTTCCAATGGCATGAAATTTAAAGCTACTTCCAAAAAACAAGTCTAGTTGTAACTATCGATCTATAGTTCCCTCTGATTGGAAGCAATAATGATTTCACTAGAGAGTAAAAAAGAAAAAAAAGTCTCTTCTGTCTCTTTTAAACTGTAAAACTCTGTATTTACTTTTGTTACAGTAAGAAATTTTTGCTAATTTTATCTTGGGACATTTTGCTTTGGTTAGAAAGAAATGATGATTCAAAGCCTGCTAATCTTTTAGGGGAGATACATGAGAAAAATGTCATTATCTCTCTTTGCAAGGGGAACGTGCAGGCACTAAAATACATCCTTGTATTTGAGCTAAACAAACCTTGAGCAGACAGACATGGACTTAGACAAGCTTGAGAACAGAAAAGGAAATTCCACTAGAATGACTTCAGACCTGTCAGGTTTTTGGTTTTGTTTTCATTTTAGGAGGAGAGTTTGAGCATGTACAATCTCCCTTCAACCTACTCCTACCTGGGTTATCTGACAAGTTCGAGTTCCTTAATCCACAACCCAGCTAAACCCACTGCTTCAAATTCCTCCCTGTCAGCTGGAGTGAGTTCTGATGTGCCTCCTGGAAGCACACACTGTCCATATGAGGTACTCACACAAATTCCCTCCTTTTGGGTGACAGGCTGCAGTTCCAGCAGCTGAGCCCATTCCCTTATGGGACAGAACCCTGGAGCAATATTATAAATACACCTTGAGTTGAGTTTGTGAAAGGTGTGGTCCCGTGGCACTTGAGGGCTCCTGGCAGGAAATCTGTGCAGGGATGGTGCCTCACCACCAATGTCAACGCTGTGGGATTTGTAGGAAGGAATCTTCCACTAACCAAGACCATTCCAGCTGCAGTTTGGGCAGCGTTCAATATCACTTCCCTAGTATGTGGATCTACATTATCCTGATTGATTTAAATTCAGCAGAGGAAAGCTGAGCTTATTTAGAGTGCTCTTCCCACATCTAACACTGAACTCTCATTAAAACAAATCAAATTCCCCAAACTTTCGTTGGAACAAAGTCACCATTCCCATTTCCCCATGTTCAGGGACACTGGTAAGATATGGGGCGGCAGAATCCACAGCACACAACACTGTGGAGCAGCTTCTGGGTAGGGAGTGAGGTGCTTTGTTTTCCTTCTGAAGCCAAACCCTTCCAAGAGACTCCAGCAGGTGCAGTGTAGGAGATAAAGGAATGAAGTGGTTGCTAACTGGTTCCCACATTGGTGCAGGGAGCTCCTCACTCCCTCTTCACAGACACAAGAATGAAGGACACTCTCCTGCTATTTTGTGATTTTATCACACAGCTAAACATAATGAATGCAACATCTTCCTTTGTAAAAAAGGCAAGGTTAGACAAATGGTCAGGGAAAGGAGCACATATTCTCCCTAAGGCTGGGTTTCAGCATTATTATGCAAAATAGAAACTGTCCTATGCTTTGGATACACCTGAGGGAAACAGCCCCAGAAAGTGAAAACCAAAGGATTTCTCAAGGTGAGCACAAGTGTTTGCTCTGCAGGAACTTCCAAGTTCTGCCCTACGGTTTGAAGGTCAGATTGTGCTTCTCCAATTCCAGCCAAAATTCATCCAGGGATACTATGTTCATTTCTTGAAAATCAACACAATTTTCCAAGGAACTAAACCCTTTCACCATTAACTCACAAAAACATTTATATCTCGCAAGAAACACCTATCAACAGAAGTTAACTTACTGATTTATTTTGTAAACACTGTGTTTTAATGAACATGGCAGCCTGATATTGGAAATTAATGATTTTTCTCTTGTTGAATGTTGAGCTTTATATAGATCAGTGTTAGGAGGCTTCCATCACAGCAAAAGGCCCTTTTTATTAATGGCTACTTTATCATTAAAACATGTATGTTGTTACTTAAAATGGTAAATTGCTTTGCACTGTCCTTGAAGTGCATTGCATAAATATTGTATTAAAGCCTTAGCTTACACTTCATAAATAATTTATTTTTAAAATACTCTTCCATGAGACCACCAGCTGGCAAGATGTTCAATTTTCTGGTAAAAACATGTATTTATTGCAAGTCTTAATTTAACTTGTTGAAGATTTGCTAAAAGCCACATGTGATAGATGTTGTAAGAACTGTATTCAAACCCAAACCTCAGGAAGCTAAAAAGCCTCATTCCCCTCATAGGTTTTATATCTCTGCATAAGCAGTTTCAGTGGCAGTGGAAAAGCTGAAATCTATTCAAGGAAGCTTTCAAGCATAATTTTCTGATAACCTGAAAATGACTTATAGCTTATTATGTGATGATCAGAAAACTTTATAGATTCCATTAAATTCCTTTTCACTACAGTCCTTCCTCCACCATTTCCATTTCATGTTGCTGCATTTAAACTGCTGTAGAAACTTGTTCAAAGTGCCAGACATTAAAAAAAAAAAATCAAAGGAAATTTCAGATAATTAACTTTGATGAATGAGCATATTTTAATTCATGTCTGGTAATATTCTTGTTAATGACATGTCTGCTTAGGACATCCATTAAAAGTCCATTAACTTAACAGGGAAAGTCTAATAAAGTTATCCTGGAAATTTTCTGGTGTATTAACGTTATGGACTTTAAATGAGTATCTGCTGTAGGAATTGCTATTAGCAAGGCTACCATTCTAATTAAACTTGGGCTCTGAGAGTGAAAAAAAATGTATAAAGATAACAACAAGCAGAAGTAGCACTTTTTTTGAAAATTGCTATAAGGGAGATTGGTTACAAGTCACAAATCATGCTATCAGTAACAGCTATAAATTACGATATTATGGCTTTTTTTTTTGTAGCCTGCCATCCAGTATACCCAAATGGAGTGTTTCCTTCATGGAATCAATTGCTGGGGCTCCTATTTACTTCTAGATTGTTGAGACTGAACAGTACAAAAAAGGCTTTTTAGGCCTTTCCAAAGGGTAGAAGATAAAATATTTAAACACAGTTTCTCATGACAATGCAAAGTAAAAAATGTACTTAGGAAACCTGTTCCCTATGGGCATCCAGCCTTCTCAGCAGCCCATCTGAAGTACATCAAGCCCAGATACATTTCTGCTGACGTTCACAATTATACAGCAAAACATCTTTCAATATCTATATATCTTTTATTCATACAATTCCAGAATGGTTTGGGTTGGAAGGGACCTTAAAGATCATCTCATGCCAACAACCTGCCAAGGGCAGGGATGCCTTCCACCAGACCAGGTTGCTCCAAGCCCCATCCATATATATATGTTTATATCTGACATATTTATATATATATAGCTTTTTATTAGTATGAATATGCATAGGTATGAAACAACACCCTGATATACCTATTTTTTCATACTTATCCTTCACCAAACATTCCAAACCAATCATTTTCCAGAAGCTGTCATCCCAACCCCTGTCTGACGTGTACGTCCACTTGCACACGACTGTACAGAGGGACCTGGAAAAGAGACAATACGGGCACAGAATCAGGCAGGTGAACACATTTGACTTTAAACCTGTGACTAGAAACAAGTTCCTGCAAAAGGATCTCTTCTTCACTGGTCCAAAAACTCCGAGCATAATGCTAACATTAAAAAAACTGGTTACTGTTTGGAGTGCACGTCTTGAGGACCTTAAAAGGACCTTGTGTTTAAGATTCTTCTCTGCTGAAACAACCCCTGGTCTGGCCACTTCATTCCATAAATCAGTCAAATAACAGGCCATGCATTTGCCTAGAGGACAGCAGAGCATGAACACAGCAGCTCTTTAGCAGGCAGCTCAGATTGCTGCTATTCCAGGCTAAATAACTGCTTTGCACACTGTACGTCCTTAGAAAAACTTTGTATTTCTTATTTTCAAACCAAATTACAAATTACAGGAGATCATGTATGCACTGGTAACCAGGTTACATGTTCAAGTCTGATTCTTGATAAGCTGAGGTTGCACTGCAGGAGCAGGATATACACAAAAGACAACAACACTTGCAGAAAAGTCTGTCTTAAAACACAGAACGGTCTTCTCTCAAAATTATTGATATTCCCATTCTCTCACTCCTCCCCAAACAAGAAAAACCTTCCTGAAGATTTAGTATTACTAAGACTCTTTTCTGTCTGAACACTAAGAGTCATCTCAGAAGATCAGTATTAAACTGCACTTGAGAAGTCAATAAACTAAGATGTATTAAAAATGCTAAGTAACACTGAAAATTGCAGCTACATGTAGGCTTGGGAATACCACTGTGCCATCAAGTGCAAGACATCTCAGATGCATCTCAGGGAAACAGAACTTCATAACTGTTTTCAAAGAGAAACCCTGTTCAGAGCTGGATTGCCTTTGATGTTTTACAAGGCAGCTTATTTGTGACTCATTTTTAGCCAAGGTGAGCTCTCACAGACATACTCTCTTTACCAGGATGTTACAATTTGAACATGTATCTTCAAAGCAAAGTCAATTTTACTGAAGCATTTGACTTTTTCTGGCAGTTTTGCGTAAGTAAAAATCCAAATAAAATTCCTCTCTACAAAAAAAATTTTTTGAGTAAAAGGAAACCTTCCCTTTCATCCAAGTGAACTACCTAAGGATTGAAGTATGAACCACAGAATGGTTTGGTTTGGAAGGGGCCTTAAAGCTCATCTTGTTCCAACCCCCTGTCATGGGCTGGGACACCTTCCATCAGTCCAGGCTGCTCAGAGCCCCATCCAACCTGGCTTCGAACAGAAAAACAGAAGCTATTTTTATTTACTATATACAAATCAAAACTAAGGCTTCTGGACACTGGTACTATACACACAGTAAAGCCAAATAAGAACAGGAAGAGCCCTTCCACACCGATAGAAAATTATCTGGGACTCACATTCCATGTTTTAGGGGTTTACAACAAGAACCAACACTCTTTAATGCGACACCGAGAAGACTGGATGATTCCAGGGACTCCCTGAACTCCCATTTTCTCATCTAGGACAGAAATGTATATTTTAAATGCATCATGTTTCATTTCATCCTGTTCTACTGGAGTGACCATGTTTTTACAACCAGAGCACAGGTGATGTTCATTCACATCCCACTGGTTATAAAGGGGTGTCATTTGCTCTTGAGAATTAATTAACATCTTTTGGGGAAAAAAAAAAAAGATAGAGAGTTAACTATTTATATTCCTATAGATACTGCAGAGATTATTTCAGGGCTACTCTTAAAACAGCTTTGATACCTCACCCCCTTTTTTTTATTAACAGTTTAAGAATAGATCAGGCAATCACAATTCAGTGATTCTGTGAAAACAGAAAAGCACATGACCTGTAACTACAGCAATGACAATGTTGATATAAGAAATTCCAATTTCCAAGGATTTAAAAGCCAGACACAGAAATCTAATTAGGACCTTTGACAAAAACTGGGTGAATAAATAAATTCTAGGCTGAAGAAAATACTGGGAAAAAATAAACATTTTCCCCAAATCAGTTCAAACCCCTCATAAAAAGGAAAAATAAAGATGGGATATTTGACAAAAAAAGCACTTCATCACTTTAGGAAAAATTTAGACATAAAGAGTGAAACAATAATGAATTAAGTTTTCCCAAATATGGGAAATACCAAACCATAACAAATTATCATCAGAACTGAGTGTGTCTTTTTCTAATTAAATCGGAGCTCTGAACTAATGCCACACCCTGAAAAATGCTCCAAAGAGCATGTTTTAAACAGGGCCAGTTCTCCCAGAGAGCTCCCCCTGTGGAACACCACACACACGGGCCACTGAAATGGCATGGATGGGACAGACCAGCCCCTGCCAATCCACAGAATTCCAGCAGAACACAGCTCTCTTGCAGGACATGGCTGGACTGAACACATTGTGTAGATTTATAAGTGCAAAGTGCTTGCAGGAGAAGGACAAATAGATGATTTTTGGTTGAATTTTTAACACAGCATGGAAAACAAACTGGGAAGGACAACTCTTCCCAAATGAACTGACTGGCAGATCTGTAAGTGGAAGGTTCTGATAGGAAAACCAACCTCAAGTCTGAGCTAAAACACCAACGCATTATGTTGGTAGGTTTTTATTTCCACGGCCACAACAAGGAACTCAAAATGCTTGTTGGAAACACAGTCAAAGCGTTTGCACTTATCTGAGAATTAAGCTCCTTATTCCACTCTTGCTGCCACTCAAAAAGTAGGCTTTTAATGGAACAGTATGGCTTTATAAAAACCCTTAATATCTAAGAGAAAGTGTTATACAGCAGAAAGGACTCTGGTCTCTAAGACAACAGTTCAAGATAAAGGAATTTCTTTGAGATGCCTGTAATAATGGATTAATGTCACCACAAGCTTCAGAAGCACCTGGATGTGTTGAACTCAAATACCTACCCCTTCCCTGATGAGGTGCTGTGGTAATTACAGACAGATGCTCAATTTGCATATGCTGAGGAGCTCTGTGCACACACAGAGAGCAGTTCATTCATGGTTTGTCACTGCTGAAGCCAATGGCATAGATAGATATATATTACATAGATTTATATTAACTTCATGGGAAATCACTCAGAAATTCTTCTCAGAGTATCCCCCTGAGAAAAGGATAGCATGACTCCTAATGTGGGAAAACTGTATCCAGAAAGACTGTGGTAAAGACCAAATCACTGCACCTACAAAGAAAGCCTCAACTATGAGAAAATTTTATATTTCACAGTAACTCCCAAATTTTATGAGATGAAGGGCAGACACTAAACAGAAACAGAGGTGATATTCACTGCAGTATATCCCATTTTTTCTAACTATTTGGCAATATTGTCTCAATTATTTGGCCGTAAACACCAGACTTGTGCTGGCTGAAGCTGGATGAACCAGATGGATAGAAGCAAATGTTCCTCTTATTTTACTATCAGGATCAAATGGGTCCAAAGGTGCTGAGTTAACAGGCAATCCTTGAGGCAACCGTGCTCTCTCAGCTGCCTGATCCAGCACAGGGTTTGAGAAGCTGTGGTGTGGAACCCCTCAGTAGCACAAGTCATATTTAGCCAGGCTGAAACACCATGAATTTAAAGACTCTTTTCTTCAAGCATACTCCCAATACAATGAAATGAAAGCTTTCCTTTCTCTGTTCAGAACAAAAAGTTATGCTTAGAATATTCCTACCGAAAAAAAAAACAACTGTTGTGCATGGAAAATTTATATTTAAACCAGATTTTCAACAGGAACATGATTATGCTTAGAGTTTCTTACAAATACCAGTCTACAAAGAACTATAGGATCCTACTTGCATCCAACAGCCTCAAGAAAAGAAAATCCCTGCCACATTCATCACAGATGTTCATTACAGCACCTTGCACAACCCCTCCTCTCACTGTCCAGCTCTGAGTTTTTGCACATCTGTTGCTGAGGATTGACTGTGGATGTGCTGAAGTTCTGTATGACCAGAACCTCAGTAGTCTTAAAAACTCAGTTCAATCCATAGGGATTGAACACACACTGGTAATTCCCCGTCTGTAAGCAACTATGTGCCCTCACTAACCTGCAAAAGGATCCAGGGCAACTGGACTTGCGGTCACTTTGGTGCTCAAGGTGAGCTGATATGTGGCTCTTCCCACATTATCTACCCTTTCTGAGTAGTATCTCTCACTCTCTTGTACTTCTTGGAGAGAAGGAACTTAGATACATTTATGAAAATGGGAAATACTGTGTGGTCTAAGTCATCTGCATAAAATGTACCTAAAAGGTAAAGGTCACAAAAAATTTCTCCACAGCTCTGAAGAGTCACCAGGGCTTTACACTTTGGTCCATTCTTTGCTGACACCATCTCCCACACTCCAAATGGGATAAAGCAAGTATGGACACAACTCCCAACTCTGCAGAGATTCAGTCCAGCCTGGAAGAATACCTGCTATGAAAATGCAGTTGGGGGATACTCCTTGACTGCAGCTGTCTTCTGGAAGTCATCCTAATTTTGAATAGAGCAATAAGTAAATCCTACTAACTAAAAGTTATTAAAAGCAACTGTTTCTTCCTGAAAAGTGATCCCATAAGGCATTTCTACACGACCTTCCATTCCAGAGGGTTGGTTCAATACTAGTTAGCCTGGAAAATGCATCAGTTATCAGTTTTAAGGGCAGAGAATCCTGTCTGGGCCACCCTGAAGTGAACGTAAGCTTTGCTCTTGACTGCAAAGCAAAAGGATCTGCTTCATTCATCCCAACTGCTCGGAAATGAATTTAAACTCAGGAACTTAATTAATTTTACAGGCATCATTAGCAAGGTAACAGTTTAATCACAGGATGTGTTCCCTGGATCACTGTCCAGTGGTGATGAACTAAGACCAGCTGCACCTGCTGAGGGCTGGACCAAAACTAAATCCTACAGAAGTGAGAACAGGATATAGTTAGAACCCAAAAGGAACAGTGTGGAGCAGGATAAAGTCGCACTTTGTGGTGTGTTGGGCAGATTTATTTAAAGCTACAAAGAATCAAGAGC